CACACACACACACACACACACACACACACACACACACACACACACACACACCAGTTGACAATGAAACTCCTTCCTGTGTATTAAAACTATATGGTCAAACTTTTTCAAAGTAGAGAATGAATTACGTAAAAAGTATATAAAGAAAATGTTTGTACATCTAAGTTTCTTAAATCAAATTTTAGTTTTAAGTTGTTGTAAATATATTGTTTTCTGAATTGTATCTTTTTTTTTTTCAGGTCAGACCAAAAGAAAACAAAAGTAAAGAAGAAAACCAGCAATCCTCAATTTGAAGAGACCTTCTTTTTTGAGTTAAAATCTGCAGTATCAGAGGTTTAAATACATCACAATATTAATAGACTGCTTTAAAAAAATGCCTTTAAAAGACACTTACTGTATACAGAACCCCATTAGTGAGTGCTGACATGTTTGTCCTCAGGTCACACGGTCAAGCAGCTACTCTAAAAAATCTACCGGCAATTTCCATGTGGTGGAGGAGGAGGACATTGAAAAGCTTGAGATCAAGTGAGTTGTGTTTTAACCACACACTACAGTCCTGTTTCCCTTCTAAAGTTGACAGAAGAAAACTATCCTGCGTTTGAGGAGGATAAAGTGAAATTAGATCTGGTGTGTTCTGACTGCTGATAGACAGCCTTGTTTTTTGGTTAAGGATATTTGAGGCTTCCATCACAGTGGACTCACTGGTAAGAGTAGGTATTATAAAAGGTAAACACCCGTGCATGGTTTTGAGGTTTGGATTTGAGGTGGTGTCATTGCACTGGTATTGTTGTTTTTTTCTGTACGAAGCAGGTAAGCACCACTTAGTGACCTGTTTTTTTAATATCTCTTGTTAAACTAGAACTGTGTGGTTTATGTTTGTGTGAAGCCCACAAGGTGAGCGTAGTCGTATGTGCCAGACATGATGTAAAGTAGTTTAACACGATACATTCATGTATGCACGATCAACTTATTTCACCTTTTCTTTCTGTTTGCAGAGTGGATCTGTGGAACAATGAAAATCTGGCTCAGGACGTGTTTCTCGGAGAGATGCGAGTTCCTGTCAAGATCCTGAGAGATGACCACATTCACAAAGCCTGGTAGGGACTAAACTGATTTTAATCTACTGTTTTTATCTCATCTAAAAGGGGGAATAACTGTTTATTTGCAGAAGATACAAATGGCTTTAAACAAACAAAAGCATATCTTGGATTAAGCCTTTTTCTCTTTACACAGGTATTTTGCATCACATAGATTAATTTAGTTTTCATCCATCTATTTTTTGCTGCTTATTTATGGTCGGGTTGTTCCAGGAGGGAAAACCAAACATCACTTTCCCTGCAGCATTTTTCTTTTTTTTTCTTTTTTTTTTCTGGGAGATTCCAAAGTGTTCACTGGCTGGAGAGGGTCTGTGTCTGCTGCAGAGTTTCATCCAGTAAAACTGTGCAAAGCCGTATCGTGTGTAATTAATCGTCAGAAAAAACTGTCAACAATTAATATTTACCACGTTGTGAGTACTGCAATTAGTGCCATGTGATGATGTATTTTTGTGTGCGACACACCATCACTGTCAGGCGTGCATGTGAGCCCACTGATGGAAGGTGGCATGGAGCTAACACTAATCCTAACCCTACAAACATGTTTAATCACCTGAAACACTGACATAAATCACAGTACAATGAAAGCCAGAAAATGTGGACCAAGGCCATAATGTTGGCTACATGCAAGTGCAATTGTCATATCTTAATTGTCGTATAAATCTTTTGTCAGCTAAATGCCACAATTAATTGTGATTATTTTTTATGCCAATGTTAGTATTACCCAACCCTACCTCCCAGGTTCCCAGAAAACCACCAGAGGGAGGTGCTCAGGAGACAGATGCCCAAACCACCTCAACTGACGTTTTAATGCAGAGGAGCAACAGCTCTTCTTCGAGTTTTCCCCAGATGATGGAGCTCCTTACGTTAGGTCTGAAACTGAGCTCAGTCACCTTTCAAAGACAGCTCATTTCAGCAGTTTGTACCCAGAAAGTTATTCTTTCAGTAATGATTCAAACCTCATACCCACAGGGTTAAAAYATCGATGGACCAGTAAATCTAGAGCTTTTGATTCAGCTCCTCTTCACCACAAGAGTCCAGAGTATTAATTTGCCTCACACAATCCTTACCTGGAGGGAGCATAAAAATTATTTGGTTTTTAATTAGGCATGTTGCAGTAGTCAATAAATCAATTAATCGCATGATAAATTATTTTGAGGTCGATAAAAAAATGAGGACGATAATTTTAATTTTCCTGCTTGATAGTTTACTTCGTCTCTCCCTCTCTGTGCTCCGGTGCACAGAGGGCTCAGCTGACCCCTCCCCTCCTGTTTTCTTAGTGTCAGGAGGAGTGAACTCTCACGCGGTCTCGTACTCCTTTAGCATGAGAGCTCGTAGCATTTCTATGGTAGCAATAACAAACTAAAGAAACGTTGATGGGATTCTGAAAAATTGAGATGGAATTGGTTTCAAAGAAGAATGCGACAGCTGCAGTGTGGAAGCACTTGCAGGGCCTGAAATTCGCTGCGGGGATTGCGCATATTATGATCAATTCCCGCTAGGGTTGCCATAAACAATTATTTTTATAGTCGATTAATCACTGATTTTTTTTCGATTAGTCGACTAATCGGATCATACGTTAATTAAATATAAAACATGCAGCTTATCGCGCCAGAATGCAGCTGCTATTATATAACCATCGTTAGATTTTAGCTATATGCAAACTAAAAATAATTGCTGTGGAAGACAAGTTCTGCTCTGCAGATATTACACAGGTTTCTCTTTCATTTTCTTAAAATGATCCCACACTTTTG